GAGAGAGAGAGAGAGAGAGAGAGAGAGAGACGGTGTTGTTTGGCCGAGCAGCAGAGCCTTGCCTTCAGACAGCAGGAATGTGGGATGTCTGGAGTGGGGGTCAGGAAGCAAGGAAAGAATGCCAAGCATGTCCATGTTTGTCCAGGGCTGGCTCTCCATTCAGCCCCCAGTGACGTGCCGCGAAGGCCAGCGAGTATAAAGGGAGCAGGGCTCTGCAGTCAGAACTCAGATCAGCTCCTCTACCGAAGCTAACCTCTAGCTTTCACCAAGACAGAAAGAAGGACCGGAGCAGCAGAGAAACTCTACGAGACAAACGAGACAAGAGATCAACTTGATCAGAAACGGTTTCTCAAACTCTGAGACTAAAGGAAGACTTTCTCAACGAGACTTAAGGAAAAACTAGAATCTATTTCTACAAGGGAGAAAACATGTCTGCCGCAATGAAGAAAATGATTTTGCTGCCTTTCCTGTGCATCATGCTCTCATACATGGTAAGTAAAAAAAAAAACACATTGAAAATGACTTCATACTGCTTCGGCTTAGAAGCTGAGGCTTTAAATATAAGGGCAATGTTTTGAGTCTTTAAACCTACTCATGTAAGCTCTGGCTTTCTTCATGTGCTGGACCTTTAATACACTTTGTGGAGATATTTAACCAAGCGTGTGTCTGTGTGTGTGCTCAGGTTGCCGGTCAGGAGTGTAGCAACCAGTGTTCGTGCCCCTCCACTCCCCCTCAGTGCCCCCCAGGAGTGAGCCTGGTGCTGGACGGCTGCGGCTGCTGCAGGGTGTGTGCCAAACAGATGGGGGAGCTGTGCACCGAGAGAGACCTCTGTGACCCACACAAAGGCCTCTATTGTGACTTCGGAGCCCCCATCAACAGACGCATAGGAGTGTGCACAGGTGAGCCTTTGAAAGTTGTTTTTTTTTCTCTGTGATGTCCTGCTGTCGATCATTAGCCGTCCTTAAAGTTTGAACCGTATAGTGACCTTTCCATCCTCGTTTCTCCCGCAGCTCCAGAGGGAGCCACCTGTGTGTTCGGAGGCATGGTGTACAAGAGCGGACAGACTTTCCAGAGCAGCTGCAAATACCAGTGTACCTGTCTGGATGGAGCCGTGGGCTGTGTGCCGCTTTGCGCCATGGACATCCGGCTGCCCAGCCCCGACTGCCCCATGCCAAGACGCGTCAAGGTCCCAGGGAAGTGCTGCGAGGAATGGGAGTGTGATTCTCCCAACAGACACAGTTTCCTGGGCTCAGCTCTGGCTGGTAAGTTAGTCTCCTTTTCTTTTAAGCAGTGTGTAGGCAACTACACACTGCCGCGTGTAGTTTCTTTGTTGGTCTTTACAAAGAGAGGAGATAATAATCAGGATGGTATTTCTAATCCAGTGTTTGCTCCTGTGTTTGCAGCCTATAGAGAGGAGGAGACCTATGGCCCAGATCCCTCCATGATGAGGGAGAACTGCCTGGTTCAGACTACTGAATGGAGCGCGTGCTCAAAGACTTGCGGCCTCGGTGTCTCCACCAGGGTCACCAATGATAACCGCGAATGCCGCCTGGAGAAACAGACCCGGTTGTGTATGGTGCGACCATGCGAGTCACAGCTGGAGCAGAGCATTAGGGTGAGTTTTTGTTAATCTGCACTGCCTGAATGAGCTCTACAGTTACAGTATTTGCACTGAAACAGCCAAAGAATGCTTAATTAAGTTGTTTTTCTCTTCATTTTCCTCCTACAGAAAGGGAAAAAGTGCATCCGTACACCCAGACTCTCCAAGCCCATGAAGTTTGAGATCTCTGGCTGCACCACCACCAAGTCCTACAGGCCAAAGTTCTGCGGCGTCTGCCTGGACGGCCGCTGCTGCACCCCCCACAGAACCACCACCCTGCCCATGGAGTTCAAATGCCCCGACGGACAGTTCATGAAGAAGCACATGATGTTCATCAAGTCCTGCGCCTGCCACCACAACTGCCCCGGGGAGAACGACATCTTCGAGTCCATGTATTACAAGAAGATGATGGGAGACATGGCGTGAGCCACTGATGGACGACCGCAGCTTATGACTTGAAAACAAACAGAACTCCATCTCATTTTGCAGCTCAGTATATATGTTTTTTTTTATTGTTTAATTTCATCATTTTCTCATTGTAAAAGTAGTCAAGACACTTATCTAAGTGTCTGTGTGTTTCGTATGGCTGGCACACATCAGCCACATCAGACAGAGGGTTGCATAGCAGCTCCAAGAGATGCCTGCACTATAACTTCTATTGTTGACAAACCTACTGTCAGGTTGCTGCCCATTCCCCTTGAAATCCCTTTTTACAGACCAGTCCGTTTTTACTGTATGCATTTTTTAACCTTATCTAAACCTTGACGTCCTCATTAATTGAGTGTCTAATAACTCCCCCCCCCCACCCTCCGGGCCCAGACCAGACCTGGAAACTCTAAGCAGCTGTAGATGTAGCACGCAGACCACAGCAGGCCAGTGTTCCCCTGTGCAAACAGGTCTGAATGTGTCCTTGTGTGTGTGTGTGTGTGGGTGTGTGTGTGTCTGTTAGGCCTGAATGCTGGCCTTGTCCCTGCCTCTAAGCGGTTCACCCTGCTCACAGAGTAGAGGAAAGGTCATAGTTTCCGCCCAGTATGTGGATGAGAAAGCAAGCAGCGTGCTGAGTTTAAGGTTAGATATGCGACACAGTGGGCTTTGCCACGGCACTGAGAGAAAAAAAAGAGAAAAAAAATGACATGTTGACTTTTACTGATTCAGGTCAGAAAGACGAAACCAAGTGGTTTTAGGAACAAAGTCTATTTTGTACAAAAATAGAAGAAATGACTGGAAGAATTTTAATTTCATTCCTTTTTGTTATTGTTTGTGTGTAAATTATGTATATATTTGTACAGTTTAAGTTAATTTAAAAGCCAAATTTGTTCTGTGCTTCAAAATGTATCGATAGTGTATTTTTTACTATTTTATTGAGAAGTGTGACAAAAATGTTACATGTTTCACTTTGTAGCTGGAAATAAAATGTTATATTTTTTTATACGAACACAAGTTTCCAGATCTTTCTGTCTTCATTTCTGTTTGGTCCATTTACTATAAGATCTTTAAACTAACATCACAAACTAAGCATACTTACACATGTGACTGATCTGCCTAACTAGGACATCAATTGTTCATGTTAACTTTTGACATCTTAGCAGGAAAGTATTAATTAGTAATTAACACAAATATCATTCTGACAGAGTGCGGGACATCAACCTTTGCTTAGTCACTACATCATGTCTGCAGCTGAAGTTAATGACATGGGGAGGATGGATTTGTCCTTATCTTAATAAAGCATAAAGATTGTTTTATTCCACTACAGGAGTAACATATGTTGGTTTGTTCTCCCACTTTGCACTCAGGTTTATGTAACAATACTGTAATGCCTTCTTCAATAAACACAGAAGTCTAAAAAATGTATGAGTTCTTCCAGCAAACAACATGAATAATGCACAGAACTTGTGTCTGTCTGTCTATTAAATTGATTTGTTAGCTGAGCAGAAAGGGGATATTTTTAAATGTCTTAGTTTAAGCTTTGATGCAAAGCATTCCTGCTCGGTTTACTGTAACTATTACATAAGACAAGATGGAAATAAATGAACACAAAGGAAATCTCTCTTGCTGACAGAGACAGCCTAATGTCGCCACCTGGTGCCCTTTTTCATGCTGTTGTCATTCAGCTTGTTTTGTCACCCACACACATACACCTGAAAAGGAGGGCATCCTTAAATGAATCTCTCTGATCCACAGCTGTAATATTAATCAAGCAGCATAATGCGTTCCTTCAGAAAGTTCTAAATATAACATGTCGAACAAGTAAAATAACAGTTGTTTGTGGTTATTGCCCAATTGTGAACTACAAAGTCAATCTATTCTTCGTCTTCTTCGCCATCTTTGTCAACTTTAAATCGTAATTCGGTGTGTTGGATCTTCTGTTTATAATGAATGTGTAATACGAAGCCACCTTCAAATAGTTGAGATTTTTAGGAATGCTTTGCTTCTCACGTAGAGGAAAACGTTTCTCTTGGTATTCAGACTTTTTAAGACTCACTGTATTTGCATTTATTGGTGCTGGATGGTACATACTGTACATAGACAGAGATCTACTGAACGGTTTCATCTTTCAGTTGTGTCTACAGTAGCTATACTATATATATATATATATATATATATACACACACATACATATATACATATATATATATATACATATATACACATACATATATATATATACATATATATACATATATATATACATACATATATATACATATATATATACATACATATATATACATATATATATACATACATATATATACATATATA